GCGGGGGCCAGGCGGGCGGGGAGTAGTCGGGCTTCGCCCCGCAAGTGGGACTTTGCTGGGGTTGACTCACAGAGGTCGCAGGGTGGGCCGGTCCAGGGTGCTTCAGTCCGCCTCTGCGCAGTCTTCCGCTGGCTTTCCCGGCCTTTGCCGTCTGGGCCGCTAATTTGTTCCCGCAGCCGGGCCTGGGCGCCCCCAGGAGTCCTCCGTGTCGGCCCCAAAACCTCGAACCCGCTGCCGCTTGTTTGTCGATGTAGGATCGTTGTTGAAAGCATTATTCGTCCTTTGTTGCTCTTGGAAATGCAGTCAATACTCTGGTATCACAGCACACAGCTCTCAGGATCGCGCTGTTTCCTTACGCGGCCGCTCCAGACCCGTCGCCATCTTTTCTCCCTACATGTTTGCTAGATTCTGAGGATCTCCAACCCCACCCCCCAACACAAAATCTGGGTGGCTTTTCCCCTCAGGGAAGACTACATAAAGCTTAGATCATTTACAAATATGATGCCAGGATTTGCTCATTTCCAAAGTGAAAGGGAGAGATTTATACCCTGTGACAGAGCTGGGCTTTCTTATCTTTAAACTAGGGCCAAGTTGCCTGTATTATATTTGTCTCTCCATTTAGGACTGTTTCCAGAAGGTGCAAAAATTATTACTATTTCCATGTAGTGGATCTTAACTTTTGGGGAACCATGAATCCCTTTAAGAAAGATAAAAACTATGGATATATTTCTATATATAATTTTAGGAGGTTCACTGACCAGCCCTTCCTCCAAGCCAATCCATGGACCAAGTTAATGACACCCCTCGTGTACAATAAAATAAGTATTCACCAAGTGTTTTCTAACAGGACATATCATTAGGGAAGGGACATCATGGTGTATGGTGAAAAGATAAGGAACTTTGATGCCTAGCAGATGTAAATTTGAGAACTGGCTTTGCAACATACAAAAGATATGGCATATGACCTTGGAGCCCGTCTTCCACATCTGCAAGAGGAGGATCATGATATGCATTTGGCAGTGTTCTTGTGAATATTAGGAATAATGTACAGAAACATCCACATAAGAACTTAATACATCATAGATACTAACAATAAATGCAATTCAGCCAGTAGTGCAGTGTGGCTCATGGGTGTTGTGATGCCTTGTTTTGCCTGTGACATAGCCACTGTGAATGGGCATAGCTTGTGTATCCTCAGCAGCTATCAGATATTCTTGTGGCAGCTGTGCTTCACATCCCATAGAACAGCAGTGCCTTTGGGTACCTAGCCCAAGGCCTGGCACACATTTTGGTCTTAAATAAACACTGGGTGGAGGTATACGGAATTCCTCCCCAAGTACCGCCCCCCCCCCCCGCCCCAACAGCCAACCTCCAGTTCCCATTTGTATTGGTGAGACTCAGTGACCAAATTGGTTTGCAAAGTGCCCTCATCAAACAGGGGAGGGACATTGACCTCCTAACAGTAAGTGAGACATAAGGGAGCCCTGGACTTCTTTTTTTTAATCTTTCATAATGTGACATCCAGATGGTCCCTGGCTTCTGTGTCAATACCTCCCCCCTGAGGTGAGCTCCATTTCTCACTCTTCCCCTGATATCTGCAGCTCCCCCCTGCCCCCGCCTCAGAGAGAGGAGGCTACAATTCTGAAGCAAAGGGCTTGGCATTGAAGCAGTGGTCCCCATGGGCCACTGTGGGGAGGGAATTGAAGTGGACATTCCTTTCAGGACAAGTGGCCAAAGGGTAGGAGACAGAGTGGTTCAGCATGGGGGGCAGGTTGCAGAGGGACAGGGCAAAGGGCACCTCCTGAAAGATGGGAATCGGGAGTGGGGAGCTGGCCTGGGTCTGTGGCCTTGGGGAAGGTAGGGGTTGCTGTTGGACCAGCTGTAGTGCAGGTTGCAGGGGAATGGGGGCCTCCACCTTGGGGCTGCTGTCTTGGACAGCATAACTCCCGCCTTCAGGGATGTCTAATTCCCACAGAGGATCTGGATTCTGGACCTCAGCATCAGTCTTGGTGGCAGCAGGGGGAGGGCCCATGTTGATGGCTGTGTTCATGCCACAGTGCCGTCGCTTGTTAATCCAGTACAACAGTGGGCTGTAGGTGAACGTGGAGGCTCTCATCATCTCCACCCACTGCTGGGCACGCTCTTCCCGCCTCAAGTTCTTCCTCCAGTGCAGAAAGAAAATGCAGCCTCCGGTTACCACAGAACACAGCCCCAGGAATCCAAAGTACAGTGAGACCCACTCTAAGGCAGTAAGAAAGAAAAAGTCAGGCTGGCTGATAGCTCTAGCTTGGGGCCTGAGCTGTTTTTCATTCATCTCCTTGGCTTAACCTATTCATCTATCACTCAATCCACTTAATTCTCTGTTCCTTCCCTCCCTCCTCACTGACTTGCTTCATCATTCTCTTATTCAAAGCTAGATTTCCAGGAAGCTTAAGAGCTACCTTTAGCCTTTTACACATAAAGAAAGCTAGATTTAGAGGAAGCATGACCTGCCCAGGCTCAGACAAGCCTCTGCTTCCCAGCCTAGGACCCATCCAATCCATCAGAGTGAGAAGCCACATTAAGACCAAGGCCATCAAGGAAGTAAAAGTTCACCAGTTGACAGGGACACCAATGTCCCATTCATAGTATCTCCTTTGGTTGGGCAGAGCAGTTTTCTACAGGAGACCGTCTCCTAATGGCTTAGCACTCCTCCATGCAAGCAACCACCAACCCATCTGTACAAAGGGTCTTCTAGAGTGTCTCTAAGCCCAAGACCACAAAGCAAGGGGCAGGGATTGGAGAAGCACTTACCACTAGGGATGCTTACGTGCTCCTGTTGGGAATCCATAAGGTCGAGCCTTCGTAGCCAGCCGATTGCTCTGGGGCTAGGGAACCCACCCACCAACTGTCCATCCAATAGGATTCCCCAGAACACCCAGGCCCCATTGTTCCCTAAAGGAGAGGTCATTAGGTTCTGAACATTGTGCATTCTGGGGACAGTGCCTATGGAGTGGTCCTGGTTTAATGGAAAGAAGGGACTCCATCCAGTGGTATCTCATAGGCACAGTGTGTCTCTACTACTTCTGTGAGAGACTGGTCTACCCATGGAATTGTCTGCCCCCTACCCCTTATGGCGAACCCACAGAGCAGCCCCAGGAAAGGGCCCTTGCTCTTTCAGGGGCTTATCTATGTTGCTGGTCTTTGGGGAACAGTTGATAGATGCCTGTTCCCAGTGGGGAGTGGAGCAAGGAGCACACAGAGCACTGGGAAGTGCTGCCCTCTAGAAGTCTGACCAAGTTGTCAGGAGAAAACCTCAGGGGAACCAAGATGTCAACATCTCCTCCTTGGGCTCCTACAATTTCTCTTTTGTTTGGTTACCATCCTTCAATAAGTGCTGTCCTTCCAGCTGTTCAGGCCAAAAACCTGCAAGTTATCTTAGACTCCTTTCATTCTATCATACCCACATTCATTCATTAGCAACATTTTTAGGCATCCTTTCAAAATATATCCCAAATCTGACTACTTTTCCATCAGTATCACTTTAGTCCAGTACCACCATTTCTCATTTGGACTACCGGTCTCCCTGTAGGGTGACCAACATCCTGGTTTGCCCAAAACTGAGGGGGTTCCCAGGACGTGGAGGTTTCAATGCTAAAACCAGGAAAGTTCTAGGTAAACTAGGACAAATTAATCATCCTTGGGAGAGCATCCATGCTTGCCCCACATACCCTAAATTCCACCAGCAGCCTGAATGATCCCTTCTAAAAGTATGTATTACTCCTCTGCCTACAACCTACAGTGACTTCCCATCTCACTTGGATTTAAAATTAGAGTCCTTAATCAAGGCCTACAAAGCCCTGAGTGATCTAACTAACCTTCCCTATATATATATTCTTAGTCTCATTTCTATTGCTATCCACTCATTCATTCAGACACAATAACCTCCTTGCTGTTCTACAAGCATGACAAGCACACTCCTGCATCAGGACCTCTGCATTTGCTATTCCCCATGCCTGAAAGGCTCTTCCCCCAGATATGTGTACACATCATTCCCTCATTTCCTTCAGGTCTCTGCTCGGGTGGTTCCTTGTCTCTATCTCTCTTAACCTGCTTTGTTTTTCTGCATCGCATGTATCACCTAACTTCATTTATTTATTTATGTATTTATTGTCTACCTTACTCTACCAGAATGTAAGCTCCATGAATTAATATAAATGAGGATCTAAGAATTTCAGATAGTAGTAACTGCCATGAGGAGAATAAAATAGGGTAATGGGATAAAGACTATAAAGGAATGGGGTGGGGGTTCATCAAGAAAGGTACCCTTGAGGTGCTAACACATGAAATGAGCCCTAGAGGATGAGGAGACAGCCACATGCAGGTCCTAGCAGGGGGAGTAGCACATGCAAGGGTCTGGAGCCAGGTACAGGCCGGCACACTTGAAGGACTTAATTTTCTACTACACTGTTCCCAGCACAGGGTAGGGCCCAGGACTGATCTCTATGAGTGTAAGTTGGAGTGAGCAGAGTAGAAGGCTCTGTCCCTGCCCCAGGAGGGGTTTCTATTGGGTAAGACCCAGGCAGAAAGGACTTCCATGCAAGGCAAACTGATGAGTGCCACTGCAGAGTGCCCACTCAGCCTGGCCCTGTGCTGGTAGCTGATGAGACAGAGGTGTTGATGTTGCTGCCCAGGAACTCACACCTGGCTCAGGAGGTGAGGAAGATAGCGGCATTTGGATTGAGACAGAGGAAGGAGAGAGCCTTCCAGAGATCAAAAAGAGCCTCAATAAAGACTTATCAATAACAAATCCTGGTGTTTCTTCGGGAGCAGAGAAAACAGCTCAGGTTGGCTGGAGTTCAAGATGGAAGCAGAGGGAGACAAGGCTTCAGAGGCAGCTGGCATCTTGAAAAGAGCTCAGCTCTTGGGTAGAACTTGGACAAGTCACGAATGATCTCAGCCTCAGTTTCCTCATCTGTAAAATGAGGGTAATACCTGTGTCACAGAGTATGAAGCCGATAGTGTCCTGCACATAGCAACCTCATTATAGAGAAGCTGCTGTTGTGATTAAAATTGATAAAAGTGTTAGGTAGTTAGACATGAGTGGGTAGGAAAAATGGGAAAGAAAAACGGAAAATAATAGATCTGGTAGCCCAGACACGAACACCTGTCCCAGGCCCGCCTCGATCCGCCCTAGCTGGCCCATGGAATACCCATTTAGCCGTCAGAACAGGATAAACTTCGACCACATTTTAACCACAAACTTTGGTAGGGACTTTCCGCCGCTAGAACATACGCAGATACAAAAAGTCAAGCCCATAGATAACCTTTGAACATGCTAAATACTCTTTGAAGCTTATAGCATACGCAATCCATAAATGCATATCATTGTAACAGAATGAATGATGGGTAATGACATGAGCAACAGAGAAAAAGGGAGGGAACCCTTAAATGTCAATCAAGATGCCGGTCAAGCAAGCTTATGTTTATGCAAAACGAGTAGTTTAAAACCTTCCGGCAAACACTCACGGGGCCACTCTCCGCTGTTGCTTGGCTCGGGTCAAGTCCCGCCCAGGATCTGACCCGTTTCTGCACAGCGCATTGCATTTTCCTTTCCCCCTTCCCTTAAACTCCTCTTTCATTCTTGGCAATAAAGCTTAAATTTTAACTGTGCTTTGGTTTCTGATTCTTCATTCACGCAAAGCAAGAACCGAGGACCGCGGGCCGCCCGGTAACAAAAGAGCATTCCACGCTGAAGGACGGACTACTACAGCGAGTGCCGGATCAATTTTAAAGCTCCGCGAGGACCTGGAGGTGCGAGCTGGCTTTCGAGGGAAGACTTCGCACGCAGAGGCTGCTGGTCCCGAGCCGGAGGGCGTGAATCCGGGCAGGCTCCCGGGAGCGGGCCGTGGCATGCACAAGACAGCAAGAGCGCGCGAGGCCGGGGCGGGAGTGCCGAGCCCTCTCCCCCGCGCCCCGCCTCGCCCCTCTCCTGCGCCCGGAACCTTGGACGCGCGGAACCCCTGCGCCGGAACGCGGGCGCGGCGGACCCGGAGGGCTATGGAGCAGGCGCGCGGGCCGCGGACGGAGGCCGAGGCCAAGGCGCCTGAGGAGGAGGCGGGGGCGGCCATGGCGGGTGGGGGGGGGGGCGGCGGGGGGGGCGGGGCCCC